GTATTATGTAGTAACGTTGATTATAAATACTAGTAGTATAATAGTATTTATAATCAATGGTAGTAGTAATGCGGACTCAATTAGTATTATTATTATTATTATACCTGACATTTCACGGAACTCAATTCTTTTTAAAAGGTTTTATTGACACTCAGTTTGTTTGGAGTCCATACATTATTTGTATTAGAGAAACACAATAAAGGTGGTTAGTAGACTTACAAACATTAATTTGAAAACTGAAAAGTATTTTAAAAACATAAAGCAAATATTTCAGACTTTTGAGTTGAACAGGTTTGACTTTGAATAGATAATAACCGAAATACAAGATTTACATACTATAAGAGTAAATTGTGTTTATTATTTTGATGCTTATTTGTTTCTGTTACTTAACATTTGAGAGGGTTGGTTAGACATTTTAACTTTCAAGTGTTTTTATTTGTGTTGAGTGACATTAATATCTTTGGCGTGAATTGGCAGCTTTTTTAATCAATAATATTTGTCATAGGAATGCCCTCAAAATTAAATGATTTTAATACTTTATTCTTTTCTTACTAAACAGGAGCTTCTATCGATCCTGATGCAAACGCCCATCAAGATAACAAAAACATCAATGTCATCAATGTGCCATAAACTAAACAATGCATTGAAATCCCAGAACATCTATTGTGATTGACCACAGAGTTGAATTCTTTATAATACAGCTAGATATATAGGTTGATTACTTCTATTATCAATTTACATAATATAATGTTAAATGTTAATAATTGTCATAATATATTGCCCCGACTTATTTGAATAATAATTTTAATATTGAGATGCTATTAATTTAAATACCTATCTGGTTAACATACTATTTTTGTTATTGTTTTATTTTTATTTTATTATTATAATTGTAAGACTCTCATTACTGTACTCCCCTCTCTCAATAAATCGAGTAATACAACAATCAGATTAGGATCTCTTATAACCTACTATACCTGTAAAAAACAGAATTATTCAATAACCTTGATTAAATATTCAAACTACATACTATATCGACACTACAATCATATGTGTACCTTTGTTTGACAAATTATATTTTTTCTATTTATGTTTGATTCAATGTTGTTAATATACTACTATTTCATTGTCAATAATATACATATATTTTCAAGTACTTTGTAAACTAGTATAACTATTTTGTATTTTGTCATTAGGTATAGTTAGGTAAATTATGTATAATAATTCAATTGTTTTATAGAATTAACAAACAATAATTTTTATTACATTTTTAATTAAAATAAATAAGCAAATTGTAATTTATACTTTTATTTTAAAACTTATAGTCTGTATATTATAATTATTTATAGATTAATAAGACCATAATTGTACCTTTTTAAAGACATTTTTTTTATTTGGAATTTATAAATCAAAGATTATTATTATTATTATTGATCTGTATATTGCATTATTATTGTATATTTTATTATCTAATTGAAACTATAACGCTGTGCTATTCAACAACATAAAAATTATGTACCTACACAATAACAGAAATATATTTTGTGAAATAAGCACTATTATAATAATATAATGATGTACCTATATAATCAATGATAGAAGTTTTATTGAAAATTAATTTTATTGTAGTGATGTAATATATTATATTATAATAAATGTTTGTCAGGTTTATAAAAATGAAATATATTATTATTGCATGTTACTTAAATTTTTGGTTGATTATTATTACAAATAAACTAATAATTATAACTAATATATTGTAATTTAAAGGCATGTGTACAACATATCAAATTAGCATACATCAGAACCAATTTGTGTTGTTGATTTTAATATTAGACTATTAGAGCGAATTAACCTATATCAAATTTAATAGTAAAAACATTATTTTTGTTTGTACACCAATGTGTTAAGACATTTTTATTTTTAATAGGTAGTTATAAGCATTTATAAATACAATTATTTTACATAATATGTGTACTCACCCAAAAAACCAACATACGATCACATTCTAAGGTTGATAATAGGTAAATTTAGTATTTACAATAATATTAAAGATAACATAACGAAATCGGTTGTGTTGAAAGAAAATTGTATTGTTAAAATATAGTAAATTAAATGAGCTTAATATGCTTATTATCAGGGCTTGGAACTTATAGCATTTGCATATCCATCGTAAGTGATGTAAAACAGAGCAGTGTTCACCGATACATTTTATAGAAAGGAGAATTCAAATATGAAATTTTATTTTGCATATTTTGGGGTTTTTCGCATATTTTTTTTTTTTTTTTGGTATACTGACTCATATTCAACAATTTTTAATGATAATGGATAATAATATTGTTCAAAATGTATTAATAATTGTTGCACATGAACCTGATTTATAAATACTTAACAAAAGTAATTTGAAACGATTGAAAACCATGTGGTTATCTACTTATCTGAGATGGCTTATTGAAAAATGTTCGATATGCCTACTAAATACTTATACTCGTTATCACTCGGCAAGTGAAGAACATAATTTATTTTATTATTTAATTTTTTATTAATTAATAATCTCATTAATTATATTTAAATCACAATTTGTTTTTATATTTATATCAAATAAATTCTTTTTTTTCATTATTAATGTATATTTTCAAGTTTATTGGTTCATATATAAGCACATATTTTAGTGCTTTAAGTCCCAAACCCTGCTTATTATGGAGCATCGTCTTAATTCTTTAAACAAAAAAACTGAATAGTTAATTATACCATTTTTGTGGTCATCTGATTGTATTGTTTGACTGTTTTCTCAGCAGAAAACGTATTAAAGAAACCTTAAGCAACAGACCAGCTGAACCCCCTTCCCAAAGTGGCATTCCAAAAACTTAATACACTCCATATATTATGTATTTTAAATTGCTCACTGTTTCCCTATACAGTAACTGATGAATTAGATATTTGTATAATATACAGCTTCTGCACTGATTACCAGATGTTAACATTTATGATTACACATGTTAATTTTGTAATCAAGTGTAAACAAAATTCAAGTTACTAATTTTACACGAAAATTTATACATTTTATTACAAATACCTTATTATATAATAACAATTTCACTATGATTTTAATTTGAATCACAATTTACTTTGGCCACTTAATCCAAATCCATTAGCATCTGCCATAAAATTATTTAATTTTTATTCTAGAACACGATTTTCATGAATTTTTCGTTTTCTGTAATTCAATATCATGGCAGCAATTTCCATTTGACCTGATCCTTCGGTTAAATAAGTATTTAAATGTTGCTGTGCTACTCGAGCATCATTAAATATCAACCTCTCAAGACAGTCAAGTCTATTAAAGCATGGCAGATTATCATCTATATTTTGAGCCCAATCCATTGTCTGTTTAAATCTGTCAATGAATGTCTACATAAGAACAAGAATAAAAAACAAATATAATACCTATTTATTTTTATAATGCAGGTGTTATAATAAATTATAAATTTGTGTTAATTATTACTTGAATTAATGTTCTTCGGACTTCATATGCTTCTCGATGTTCTAATTGAGACAAAAATTTTCCAAATAAATAGAAATGCTTACACAACTTGAATAAATCAACTACGTTTGCATCAGCCGTTAAGACACCTCTAAAAATATAAATAAATGTTTGAATATAGCTTAAATCAAAAAATCAAAAAATCAAATATAATATTAGTTAATACCATACATACCTGTAAATTTCATTATATGCTTTGGGCATATCAAATTGAATTGATTTTCCTGCTAAAAACACTTTAATCATCCATAAGGGAAGTTCAAATTTTGGATCAGATTCTTCATCTTTTTCAGGGTTAGTCGAATCTAAAAAATCTAAAAAAATATATGAAAACTTTTATTTTACTACTCGCTGCATTTTCCAAACTATATTACATAATACCTATCTTAAATAATGTTTTCAATTTGAACTAATACACATCACAGCATACAAATAAAATAAAAGTGAGGGTAAAAGTGTATACTTTTATAGATTTATTTGAATATGAAAAAAAAAATAGGTAGATAATAGTCTGAATGAATCTAGAGAACAAAATCAATGGAAAAAAGGCCAAGGGGAACCAAACTTGACTTATTTATCTATACAACTAGGTAGCTGATATTAATTAAATATAAATGAGCTGATATGGCATAGAGACATAGTATACTGGTATTAGACACAAGAGAAGATCATACTTTACAATAATAAAAATAAAAACTTACCAAGATATTCAACTTTTTTAATAAATGAACATTGAATTTTTTCTTGAGCAGCCATTATGGCATCAATTGAGAAGTAATGTGGTTTTATATTTCTGAACATCCTAGTCTGCGAAAATTATTTTGAAATCATAAACAATTTATATAGTATTATAATGATGTAAAAACGATATTATTAAAAAAAGAATGCAACATACCGGCTATATTATATTGTTCTGTGATTATACTCAATATTGATACAAAAAAAAATGTTTTACTGTCAGTTATTTGACGTATAAATTAACAACAGTAGTCCCGATTTGTGTTTTAAATAAATATAACATAATAAATCGGTGAGGAATTCGTTTTTTTAAATCACTAAACCGTTAGAGTAATATGGCGTTACTCCAAATTCCAATAACAGATATCTTTATTATATATTTTACCAACTATTGTATACAGATAAATGTATTATCACAAAGAAAGCTCTTGTAAATCATGAAGGCTAGAGATAAGGAAGTAAAACTACCGAAAAAAACGTCCCGTAAAACATTGCACACTAATTTCTCCACCAGTCAGCGTGGCGGTCAAACCTAGGCTAGCTCGGAGTGTAATATTAACCCGTATTAGATAGGGACATACTCGACTTTATTACCTTTATTAAAAAATTATAATTATAAAACTAAAAATCGTATTTAAATTATAACTACACCATCGTATTCAACGAAAATTTATCTTTAAGAATAAATAACTAAAATTAATATTAGTGTTCAATGTTTACGTAATAAATGTTCATATAAATAGTAACAATATGTAAAATGTGGTAGATTATTACTATAGGTTTCTTTAAGTAAATATTTAGGCTATAAATAGACTTGCTATGGTAAAATTATCACTGAAAATATTGAATGTATACAGTTCTACAGATTTATACAAAGCAGTATTTAAATTTTAAATACATTTACTCAAATATAATATTGCTTTTTTTTGTTAACTTTTCATGGGCCATCATACGAGCATTATCAGTGGGGCCCAATATTCTGTTGAGATAAATAAAAATAAAGACACCCTTAATACGTAAAAAAGAAACAATGTTTTGGTGGGAATTTAAATTGTATTTAGTGTATCGAAAAAGATTTAATTTAAACAGTGCAACAATTGTTATGATAAATACATACAATATTACAATGTACATTGTAATATGTGCCAATACAAAAAGTATAATGTCTTAAAAGTATAATAATCCTTCTGCCGAGGAGTCACGCGCCGCCGTACCCTGAAACATGATAAGTTTCCGCGGGTCCTGACGATGCTGACGTCCGTGTCCCTAGCGTTAGCTCTCAATCACCGCCTGTCGTGCCTTGCAGTCATCAGAATTACAAAATAGACAATAGTAGTATCTTTGTTAGGTCAAAATAAAAGTACCATAGTCTTCCACTGGAGCGTTTTTTATTGGGATTGTAGGTTGATATTTAGTTTTAATTGTCCCTCCTTATTGTTATTTGCTAAATTGACCCTAATAATTGCAGTAAAATAATGCAACTTTATATAAGTGGTATCAACCATAAGCTGCATTCTGTGATATTATCAACAATTTCTTATCAATTTTTGATTCTGACATCGAAATTAATGAAAATATTTGTTTTTTTATTATCATTGATTATTATCTACTTATAACTTATCTATGATAATTATTATTAATTTGTTAAAGCTAAACGGTAATAAGAATAACTCATATGTATACTTATTTATTATTTACTTTATACTTGCCTATAGTATTAAGTCTTTATTATTCAGCATTTTAAATTTCAAATAATTTAGTATCATATTAATTAGTATTTGCTGTTTAGGAAGTTATTTTAAATACTTTTTTATAATTTAAATTTATAGGTATTCATATATAATATTATTTAAGTTCTTAGATGTCTTGTTTACTTGTTACAAAAGTATAAAAATGTACACACAAGACAAATAATATCATTCTTTGGGCATTTAATTTATATATTGTTTATTCAATTAATTAGTTTACTACAACCAAGGACAATGACTTCAATATTACAAAAAGTGTTGGATATCCCCAGTGTACTTTCTCATTTATTGGAGGTTGATAATAAAGGTAGGTTCTGCGAGTTTCTAATAGACAATTTTTCTTTAGCACTTGCACTAGTGTAATTAACCTTTGACTAATTTATTTAATCTTTGAAATAGATATTACCAATTGCAAAATTTTGGGTCAGGAACAAAATGGAGAGTTTATCCTCTGTTGGAACTTGAGAGGTCAAGGAGGATCCTGTACTGCTGTAGGATTGTTTTTTTACACCATCAAAAAAATACAAGTGAATATTAATTAAATGTTATAACTACTGTGGTGTTCTAGGGATGGTCATCCCAAAAATTTCTTGGAAGTAGAAATGTTTCTGAAATGCCTTTTTTGGTACTTATCAGTTATCCTTCATAGTGACTACCTACCACAGGTTTACACTGAGTTATATAATTTTAAGACAATTTTATAATATTCAAGACAAAATAATATAAGTAGGTAGGAGTCTGCCCCCAAAAACTTTATGTGTAAAGTATAATAAAACTGATGTACTGCTGTCAACCTTCCAATTCCCTATAACGCAGAAAAATAAATAGTTAGAGCATAAATTTATTTTTATTTTTTCTAAAATTACTAGGTTTCATAGTAAGTTTTGTATATAATATATAAAAATATATGCTCTAACTATTTACTATCTATTTATTTTTCTAAGCTCTAATAATATCAGATCTATCTTAATTTATTTTTTTTATGTAATTTTTTATTTGTACATACAACAAATATCATATCTAGTTTTGTTTTAAATTGATAAGATATTTTTTGAACTTGTATAGCTAATTGTGTGAGTAGTTAATTCAGTACATAGTAAATTAAATAATTAAATCTCTAGAAAATTGAATACTTATCTACATAATGTAGAACCTTAAGAAAAAGTATTAATATAAAATCTTAATTATGAAACAAAATAATTTGTTTTGAACTATTTAATTTTCAGGTTTTAATTAAGTTCAAGCATTTGGTGAATATTGTTCAAGCTTCAATCAATTATAAAAACACAGTTCTTGGTAATACTATTCCTTGTTACTAGATATTAGTAAATTCAATTTTAAATATTTACTTTCAGGCTATGTAACCAAAGAGCCATTTGAAGACTGTGTGGAATATTATCGTGTTTTTATCATCCACCTTGATTATCCTAATTTTGAGCCAGTTGATTTAAACGTTAACAACCGTCGCCAAACCATGATTCAATTTTTATACAGGAAACGTAAACAGCCAGACAATGATCGCTTTTTAGTTTTTATTCACGAAACATGTAAGTTTCCATTTTAAATTATTTTATTCTCATAATGTTATTTGAGAAATTATTCAATAAAAAAAAATCTAAACCTAACAACTGATAATTGTATTTAGCTATAACACTTTATCAAGTGGAGGAAACTGATAATGTAAAGGTGAACAGTTTTCATAATAGCATGCTCAGCATTATTTTATAGTTTGTCTCTTATTTACATTATAATTATTTAATTGAGTTTTATTGTAATTTTTAGAATCATTTAAATATAAAAAAACAAGAAAAGGTTGTGAATCAATTTTCATGGGCTCAGTGGGAGCCACAACATCAATGTTTATTTTACATTCATTATTCAAATATGGCTAACAGTAATTCAGACGAAGCTAGTCTCTCTGCTTTACAATTTCATGATGAGCCTCAACATGAAACTGTGGTATTTATTTAGTGTATTTGGTGCAGTATTGTTGTTTTTAATAATAATTCCAACATTAAATAATATTCTAGTTAAATGTTCCATTAAACCTGCCAAACCGAAAGAGAACGGCAGAAAATCTTTCAAATGGTTATTTTGATATTCCCGTACCATTATGTGTTCATGACAGTATGTTAGATGTCCGTGTGTTATCAGATGCACGAGGATTTGTTGCAGTTTGTCATTATTATTTATATCAAGTATGTACCTATTGTGTTACATTTTTATTTTTAAAACTATACTGTTATATGGGATTTTATTTTTATCCCTTAGCAATATCTAATACTCATAAAAAATATGGAAAGTTATTAAATGCTGGTTTTTTTTTTATTTTAGTGATTGGTTGTAAAAACCTAATTAATTTATCGACTTAAGTTATTTGCAAAAAATATTTATGATAAATTTTTCATATTGGCAAATCTATACTAATTGACCAATAAATTTTAATATGTGAAACACTTAGGTTGAAAATTAATACTGTTAATTTTAGGGAGTTAGTGCTCCGTTGGCCAATGATCATTTGAGAACAGTGTATTTGGCTTTTTCCGTTACTCTTCTGCACCATGGCAGTGTAGTTCATTGCAATATAGCCGGTGTTCCTATGGTTCGTGCATACGAGTCTCGTCCAATATTCACTATGCAAGGAGGTAGTTTTAAATTTTCAACTTCTGAATATATTCAAAGTCAAATCTTGTTATTTTATTTATCTTGACTAATTGTTGAGTTTTTTTTATTGCAAGTCAATTAGTTACACACAATATTATAAATACAATTTTTAGTAATTGCATGAAAATATTTAAATCTGCATCCTAAATATTTTGCATGGTGTGATAGGTATAATTTATTAATGATGATAATGTATACAATTTGTTTAGTTTAGTTGAGTTCAATTCTTTAAATATTATTTTACTGCTTGATGATGATTTTATGGTATTGAAAATTTGGTAGCTCTAAAATAAGTAATAATTGAAAACCAACCTTAAAGTTCTGCCTAAAATTGTTACACGATCAATAGATGAATGGGTTACTTGATCCTTTTGAAGCACTATCTCTATGACTATGTAATGGTGTTTATGAAACTTTTTTTAATAATACTGTTAAGATGTTGAAGACAATAGTACAAAAAAAAGGTAAGATAGTTTTTAAGCAGTAGATACTTATACTAATAGAACAAATATTTAGTACATTGCCTATTTTCATATTAATTAATTTTTATTGTCTTCATTTATTTAGGGCTCAAACCATTTTTATACATAAATATATTTCAACTATACATTTGTTTTATTGATCAAATAAGTAAATTAATTGTTTTTTCTTTTATTATAGATCAACATTTATTGGTTCACTTTCCCAACATGTGTACATTACTTCTGGATGTAGGTCCTGATCATGAACCAAATTGTCATATTGTCATACCTTGTGTAGATGAAAACAGAAGTTGGAAGAGTACAATTGCCACAACAATTGGATCGGCGGGCACAGTGGTGGATTTGTCTACTATGGCTGTATTTGAAACAAAAATCACTAAACGCCACTTAATTGAAGCATTTAAACAACCAGATGCTGTACTTGCCAATCAACAAGCCATATTGCACTATTTTATTGTACATAGGCGAGACATGGATATTGTAAACCAAGTAATGTTATTTATATTTAACTCTAAAATTGTATGATATATACATC